TAACGATTTAGCTAATTTTTATTTGGAAATTGTGATATTTAAACTTAAATATAATTCATGGTGAGGTTGTTATGTTATCTATGATGTTTAATTTTCAAAAGCCTACTTTCTAGTTTGACCTAAATTCTATAAGCCCATAAAAGCATTATTCCTTGCGGCTAAGCATTTATTTTTGTTCATAATATTATTTTATTATATTATATTATAAAATACGGTTTTGATATTTAAATATATGAAATGCTATAATAATATTATTAGTTATGTAGTTTTTATAATAGAAAATCTGTCAGGGGTAAATGCAATTTTTTTTAGAGATTTTGAACTTTAGTTATGCATTTTGGTTACAGAATATGTTAGAGATGCTCTAAAATCAAGGCTAGAAAGCTAGTTAAAAATGCACAAAACCACCTATGATTGAAAATGACCAAGACAGATAGGATCAACTACGGGTTTGGTCTAGTTTTTTAGGGTCGGATTAGTTAATTTTTCTTAAAAAACTCGAGTCAGATAATGATCAATACATAACATTAAGATAAAGATCAGTTAAAAAATGTCTGAACAGATAATCCAAATTAGATTATAGGACCTCCATGCGTTTTGCAAAATGTTAATGTTGCATTCGTAGAAGCAGTTTAGACTTCTTTGCTTCATACTTATCCAGTGTAGATTAAAAAAAACTAATTTAAATTTAACCAAAACTTGAAAAACAATCTGGATTTTACTCGTAACTGGTTGCATTATCCTTATTATCTTCTTTTTAGTGTATAAAATAAATATTATATATACTTTTTTTAATGGTGATAGTTGTATTCGAAATATTTTTAGCATCAAAATCTTATAAAAGTATAGAATAAATAATTAACAACAATATAATTAATCATATACTTAATTACTAATTCTTTCTTTCGACTAAGTGGTTGTTTACCCAAATAGTTATCCAATAAGCGCTCAATAGTAAAATTCAACATTATTATGTCTTAACTGACAAAAATGATATTGTATACAACAATTTACCGAATAAGAACTAACCAAGTAAGATTCGTTACCCTTAATTACCGTGTAAAACTCTCAGTCCTTGTCATCATTTTTACTGAATAAGATTCTTGTTCATTTCCATATTTTATCAACCAAAGCAATATAACTTGATAAGTACTTACCAGATAAACATTTAGTAAATTCCCCACCAATAAAATAAATATACAATTATTCATATAATTCTCATGAATTAGTAGGTGACATATCCTAGAAAACAAATATTGGGGGCGAATGAAGATCAAATGTGATATAGATACATACACGGTTTATATGATAATTGTAATATTATAACTCTATTAAAGTTGTACAGTTTTAGTCCCCCTAGATTATGTCTTCCCATAATCTACCCTATAGTTGGTTTTATTACATCAAATGATTTAAGTTCAACAATTACGCTTCGGCCTGTTAATCATTTGTTAACAAAATTTTATTCACAAATAACATTGTATATGTGCTATGAAATTGCAACATTTAACTCGAAAAAGGTTTGACAAAACATTTGATAACTTATTATTATCCATTGAACCCAAATCATTAACGTTTGTTTCGATAATGATAATAAAAGACAAATAAATATCTTGAAATAGGATGGGTTTTTTTTGTTTGAAAAGATGTTTCACTTGTTTAGTTTTTGGCATTATAAAGTAAGCCATAAAATTTACGATGAACTCGATGAACGAATGATTTTTTATGAATATTTTTATTCGTAAAATAATGATCTTTTGTAAACATGTTTAGTTAAATTTACATAGTTTTAAATGATAAAAATATTAAAATTAAAAGTACAATGTTGTAATAGAAAATGATGATGTTATAATAAAGTAATTTTGAAAGTACAATGATGTCATGTCAGTATTATCGAACACGTGGACAGTCTATGTGGATGATGAGGTGGCAAAAAAACCCTGATATAATGGGTAAATTTAATTTAAAAAGTTACCCAATTCTATAACGGGTAAATTTTTGAAAGTATAATACCATAATAAAAAATATTTTGAAAGTATATTGTTGTAATTAAAAAAACTGAAAGTACAATGTTATAATAAGAAAATTTGTAAAAGTAGGTTGTTATTTCATGTATTTTTTTCTAAAAATTAAATATGTAAGAATGAGTGTTATTTAAATAATTCCAAATATTTGTTTGTATATGTTTTACTGTTAATTTAAATCTTAACAAGTACAATAATTCTTTATTACAGAAGGTTTAGATACTCATTAATTCTTTTCTCAAATCATATTAAAAATTAGATATTGTCAATAATGAAAAGTAAAGGGGGTAATTTAGAATTTGTAAAAGGTTAGGGGGGTCTATTGTAGTTTTGTTAATGATGATTTGCTGTACATTTAGAAAGTTAATCCACAGATTAACTAGTGGATTCCATCACATAACAGTGCTGACGAAATCATTGATTCTTTCACGACAAAAATCCCACGCGCTTATATTTACGTGTCGTTTACGGACCAAGAACTCAGCAAGTTTAAAGCGAGTGTGGTACACGCTCTAGGATAATGTTTCCACATACCCAGCATCTGTTATATTTTTAAATTTAATTTAAAAATCTGAAAAATTAATAAAAGATTCTTTTTAACAGGTAGGGAGAGAAAGTAGCCGATTGCGATTTGGCATCTTTGCAAATTCACATTTTGCCACTAAAGTTTTAATAATTTCTAAATTTTCCACTTTTGTTTTGTTCTCTTTAAATTTAGACGTTATTGTAAGATTCTACATCGGTTGAGAAGAGAACAAATGATGTCTTATACATGATTGCATATCTTTTCTGTAAACGTGTTCTAAAACCGTCTGATCAGATATGGATAAAACAAACAGTATTTGGTTACAATTATGTATTAAAATTGAGTATTATTCTCGAAAGGATTTTATATATATATAGGACTGTGTAAAGTTGTTTATGGATTATAAACTTGATTAAAAAAATGATATTTAAGGATGCTCATTTATATCTCTTTCCGCAACAGACGCAACTAAACGTATGCATATTGCATTCCCAACACAAAATACCTGCCATTTGAGGGATTGTAGTCTATGCACACGACTTATAAGCATAATACCTTCCAAAAATGCAAACTGATCACATGGATGACGTATGATTTTGGTCTATCTACTCTGCAAGGCCTCACTTTCTTGTAAGCAAATATTGAAATACCCTTATGCTAGTTACCGAGATAAATCAAATTTAGAATGTCGTTTTTGTCAAAATCTAGTCATAACACTAAAGATAAGGAAATGTCAAATTAAGTAGCACTAAATAGGCTGGAATTAGTAGTCGAGATTGGGTCTATCTAACATCTATTAAGAAAATCCAAGGTTATAACATACCTTAGGCATTGTTTGGCAAAAATAAACTAACTTATAGGTCAGACTAGCTTATTTTCTATGTACATATTTGGATGGACATAAGCTACCTTATTGAAACACTACCTGGAGTAGCGGTTTGGTAGTTTACTGTCATTTTTTTTTCAATTATAATTCTCATTAATATTAATTATTATTATTATTATTATTATTATTATTATTATTATTATTATTAAATAAACATTATTAAAATTAAATAGTACTAATTTTAGTAAATATTAGTTAATTTTAATTATACATCATACATTAATATTATTTATTAATTATTTATGAAAACCACTAATCATATTAATTATTTTCATATTATAATCAATATATTATAGTTTTTAATTTTTTTAACATCTTGTTTGTATTGGTTAATATATTATATTATTGGAGATTTGTTTCAATTATATTTTAGAATATTATAATCGATTAATTTTTAAGATATTTTTTAATCATTTTACATTCTCATCAGCTAGTTTTACAAAACATAATTTATTTAGAAGCTAACATCTATAACTTATCAACCATCGACGAGTCTGTCAAACATATTCTTAGTCAAACAAAGTAAAAGAGGGCCACTTTGATCCAATAATTGATCAAGTGTATTCAATTTCAAGGGATCAAAAGTCTCAACAAGTGACCCAAACCATTATTCCAGAAAAATGGTAATAAACGAAACTTTGGTGGCCAAATCATGAACTTGTTGAAAGTTAAGTGAAGAAAATGAGAAATTGGCAATTGCGCCTACATCACAAACAAACCCACACTAAAGAATTGAACAAAAGTCCATTATTTATTGATCTTACATCACCCATCTTTACTTGTATTCTTCCTGAATCATCACAGTTCATCTTAAAAATTGAATCTTTTTCCCTTCTTTACCAAGGATCTTCATCAGCTGTGGGATTCCCTAGGTGGGGTTTCTGAGGTTGTAAGGAGAATCTTGAACAAACAACAAAGCAGCAAGCAGACTTGGAAACAACAAAGGGTTTCAAGAACATTGGATTTAAAGAAGCAACAGAGATGATTACAAGGTAGTAGAAAGATGATTTCTAAGTCTGTCTCTCCATTTCCTAGCAAGAAAACAGGTTTTCTCCGACCAGATACATTTGTTTGATCTTATGTTTGTTCACCCACAGGATTTTATGACTTCTATTTTTAAATTAGTTGCTAGTTTTGGGGTATTTAATGAAAACTAATTCTTGCCCGGATTAAAATGTACGGCCCCCTTTTCATGAACATCGTCTGTGAGAATTTCTAGGTTCTAATCCATACAATTTGGAATTTTGTTGGGGTTTCTTTCATGTTTGACCAATTAGATGAGTCAAGATAGCAGTTTTTGATTCTTTTAACTGGGATTTCATCATTGATTGCACATCTGTAGATGGTTATGGTACATGTTTGACCATTTATGTAAGTCAAATCGTACAGAATATTCTGATTTCTGACTGGGTTTTCTTCATTGATGATGTTTTTGCCTCTGCTGATGATCATTGAACTTGTTTGACCAATCAGAGAAGTCAAAATTGATTTTTTTTTTTTAGTGTTTTTCATGTTACTTCACTTCTAATTTGGATCTTTATCAGGTATTATGAACTGGGGTTTCTTCATTCATCAATCTTTATGCATCTGTTGATGATTATTTCACATGTTTGACCAATTATGAAGTCAAAGTAGCAAATTTCAATCGTATAATCTGTTGAAGAATCTAAAGAATGTTTCTCCTCCCTTTTTGACAGATATTGGCTTTGAAGGATAATTCTTTTAGGTAAAAGTTTGTGGGAGTTTAGATTAAAGATTAGTGATGAATGATAATGTGTTTACGTTCGAAAATCCATCGGATTCACTTATGGATTTCGATTACATGGATGAACTCTTGTTAGATGGATGTTGGTTACAAGCTACCGATGGATCTGATCCCTTGAACAACAATAATCCATCGAATTCCACCCCTCTTCTTGACCCTTCATTCCAATGGCCGAATTTGGAATCCACCATTGGAGAACCGGTTTCAAAAGACATCTTGTTGGCTCCTGAAGGAAATCCGTCGAAATCCCATCTCACAAATCTCATCGGTTCGCCGGCCGACCAATCTGAAAATCTTTCCGAGTTAAGCAAGCGGTGGTGGATCGGACCAAGGGCAAGCTCCAGCCCTTCGTTATCGGTGATGGAGAAACTGATTTACGCGATTGATAACATAAAACATTATACGGTGGACAAGAACGTATTGATTCAAGTATGGTTACCAGAAACTAGAGACGGGAAGAAGGTCTTGAGTACGAGCCAACGACTTTTCTCGCTTGAATTGAACTGCCCTCGGCTTTCTAATTATAGAAGTATATCGGAAGGTTATCATTTTCCGGCGGAAGGGGATGCCAAGGAGAGCGTTGGATTGCCAGGAAGGGTGTTTATGGGGAAAGTTCCCGAGTGGACTCCTGATGTTCGGTTCTTCAAGATCGAAGAGTATCCGAGAGTTTCTCATGCTCAAGAACAAGATGTTCGTGGGAGCGTTGCGGTTCCTGTTTTCGATCAAGATATTAAGATTTGTATTGGTGTTGTTGAGGTTGTGATGACTACTCAAAAGAGCAATTACAATCTAGAGATTCAAAGTGTTTGCAAGGCTCTTGAGGTATGCTTTTTCTAGTTCTTTCAAGGTTTATGCTTTTCCTGATTCTCTTAGAGTTCTAGTTTTTCGTTTTCCGGGTTCTGAAATTTTGCCCGATATTTTGGCCGAAATGCCAAACATGACACCAAAATCAGCTTTATAGGAAGTTAAATATGTCTAAATGTCCTAACAGATTGTTTGGGTCAGTTCAAATATCATGATAAGGTAAAAGGGTAGATTAATAGAAGATTCATATGTGAATAATAGGAAGATCCATTTGAAGATGCATAAGTGAACTCATATGAATAATCTGTAACGTTGGTTCACATATGCATATTTAAATAGATTTTCCCCATTTTTTTAATTATTCACATATGAATCTTCTCTTTAACCTTCTTTCTTACCTTCTCACGATATTTAGTCAGTTATGCATCAATTGTAAAAGTGTTACAAATAAGACATTTTTGGACGTTCTAACAAGCTTTTTTTAGGATACTTTTGAAATAAAGTGTTCTGTTAGCTTTTTTACAGGACACTTTTGAGTATGTTATATTTTTTTCTGAAAGAAGTTTGTTCATGATTCTAACAGGCCGTTGAACTCAGGAGTTCCGAAGATTCAAACACACAGACAGTTAAGGTAATTGGAACCTAAATTCGACAAAGAATCATGAAACATGGTTTCCAAGAAATTAGTGTTAGATTTCTTGATTCAATTACTTATTTCTGATTGTGATCATCAGGTAAGCAAGAGCTTCTATCATCCCGCTATACCGGAGATTCTTGAGACGTTGAAATCCGCCTGCATGATGCATAATCTGCCGCTAGCTCAGACGTGGATTCCGTGCATCCAACAAGGCGGCAAAGGCGGTTGCCGCTATTCCAGTGATAACTTGATCCATTGTATCTCCACCGTTGATTCTGCTTCTTATCTGTCCGATCCTCGTTTCAAAGATTTCCAAGAAGCTTGTTCTCAGCATCACTTGTTTAAAGGTCAAGGTGTTGTAGGCAAAGCTTTCACGACCAACGAGCCGTGTTATTCTCCGGATGTAACATTGTACACGAAAACCGAATACCCGCTCGCTCATCATGCTCGAATATTTGATTTGCACGCTGAGGTGGCTATACGACTCCGAACCACGTATGCTGCTTCGATTGACTTTGTGTTGGAGTTCTTCTTGCCTGTTGACTGCAAGAATCATAAAGATCAAATGGGTGTGGTTGATTCTTTGTTGATGATCATAAAAAAGGTTTGTGGGAGCTTGAGGATCGTTACGGAGATGGAGTTGCAGGAAGAAGAAGGGTTACTCATGGTTTCTGATACGGAACCGGTGCAGAAAACTCAAGAAACGGCTTTTGGTGGAGCGGTTTCGGGATTGGGTTTGGGGATGGAGAAACGACGAGCTGGTGCGAAGATGGAGAAAACGATCACTCTAGAAATGCTGAGGCAACATTTTGCCGGCAGCCTGAAAGATGCTGCGAAGAATATCGGTGGTAAGTTCGTGTATTTTTGTCTGAAGTTACTCGTTCTTGCAAAATACCGTGTTTTTTGCATTTTTGTATGACGATTCGAAAAAGGAAAATTATGACACTCAGGAGTCGGGCCGACAACCATAAGCTGGCTTATTTTTTCAGCTTATTAAAAAGTCCCATTTGGTTAACAATAAGCCGCTTATTAGCTAGCTTTTAGTTTTTACATATGACTAGTTTATAAGCTAGCTTTTCTGCTAACTAGCTTGTCAACTGGTTTACCATACATAGCCGCGGTTAAGTTGTCTTACGAATCTTCACCGCGAGTTGTTGTAATTGCAGTTTGTCCGACGACTCTGAAACGGATATGCAGGCAACATGGGATACAACGATGGCCATCTCGGAAGATCAAGAAAGTCGGTCACTCGTTAAGGAAGATCCAACTTGTAATGGACTCAGTCCATGGTGGGTCTGGTTCGTTTCAGATAGAGTCGTTCTATTCGAACTTCCCGAAACTCGCATCTCCAGGCCCATCAAAAACGAACCCGATCCCGTTTTCGGCTTCAAAGATAGAAACTTTCGACTCGAAGGCTGCCGATGGCGCCACTGCCACTTCGTGCAGTCAGGGTTCAAGTTCCAGCCAATCTTTCTCCGGCGGGACCCACCAGGTCCAACAGGTCGACGAAGATACCGTTGAAGGAGCTCTGAAACGAACCAAAAGTGACGCAGATATTCATACGTTTTCTGCATCGAGTGATCAAGATCAGGAACCAAAGCTCTTCCCAAGATCCCATAGCCATAAATCGATCCACGAGCCTCCAAAATGTCAAAATCTACCCCCGAAGCCGCGGTTGATGCCCGATGGGCATCTTCGGAGGGTAAAAGTGACTTTTGGCGAAGAAAAGGTACGTTTTCGGTTGCAGAAAGATTGGGGGTACAACGACTTGCTGCAAGAAATCGGGAAGAGGTTTAGGTTGAACGATATCAGTGGATTACATCTAAAATATCTCGACGATGATTCCGAATGGGTTCTACTAACTTGTGATGCTGACCTAGAGGAGTGTATCGATGTGTATCGGTCGTTTAAGAGCGGGACCATTCGGCTCGCTCTTCGCGAGCCGCAACTTCGTGTTGGTAGTAGTTTAGGTAGCAATGCACCCTTGTAAAGGGTCACTCCAGTGCACCAGGGTTGTTAACTTCCGACGGGTCCAGTATCCCAAACCTGTGTAGAAATGCAACCACGGTGCACCAAAGGTCTTGGGCTTTTGAAGTCTCGATATGCAGGTTTTATTTTGCATCTTGAAAAAAAGACTCCTTTAGTTACTCGAACACACGATCTAGTAAAAAGTGATGGTTATATGAGTCGAGTGGCGGTTTCTGAAGCGATTTTCTGCCTACGGCATGGATGCAGTGTCGGGTTTGTACAGTATGCGCTGTGATGTAGCGTATGCATATTTGGGTTGTACTGTATGGCTTGTTGGGTTGTATTGTATGCATTATTAAGTTGTACGAAGTCAGAAACAGTTAATGATGCTGTTAATTTTTAGTTACAGCAAAGTACTATTTAGGAGCTTTGTATGATATATGGAACTTTTGATAGATTTATTAGAGGGTGTTACACTTGCAATATACGTGTTATTTTTTATGATCAACATATGGCTACAAATTGTTATAATGAATCAATGGAATCAAACTTGTATCGATTCAAAATCGTGCAAAACACACTTTCTGAAATAATATTTCGACTCTATGAATGTCTTGGTTTCACGAAGCTTACCGAGGATCAGGCATGGATGGTTAGCATGGAGATTAGATCACGAACCGAGTGCAAAGGCCACCTTGCTTAGGGGATTGTTGTGTTGTTGGGCTGCTTTGGTTACATATCCATTGAATTAATCCCTTCTAAGCTAGCCACAACTTGTGTCATAGAAGGGCGATTTTCTGGGTCGATTTTGAGACAATTTAGGATGAGTTCAGCTGCTTCACTTGCTCCTTTTGGAGGATTACCTCTTTCGGACCATGGATCCATTATTCTTTCTAGTTTTGTAGGATCGGATAAGATGGGTTCAGCACACTCCATGAAACTCTGCAGTGAGGGCCATCGATTGTCCATAAAAAAACTTGAACCTGCTATCATATGCAGCATCATCACTCCAAAGGCGTAGACGTCACTCTTGAAACACCAATGACCTGTAATTGTATAGCGCGTTCGGATAAATAGATCCAAATCTTTGTTGGAAATGACAGGATTAACAACATACCAAGACTTCAACAATCAATATAGAACCAAGTTAAAGACCCCTTTTTGCACCTTTCTCTCTCTAAAACTTGGTCTCCAAGTTTCTCTCAAGAACTCAAGTACTCCTTTTGACTTTCTCCATTATAAAGCTGTAATCTCTCAAGTGTATCATCATCAGAGTGACAGTGAATCAGTTCTGGGTGTCCTTTCCGGATTTCCATGCAAAAATCTGTCTCTCTTCCTTATGTTTACATTACATTGTCAATCGTTATTCCGCTTAGAATCTCGATATAGAACCATAGTTCATTTGTTCTTGGGTTATTTGTGTTTTATCAGGAACCAACCATTGAGCTTATTTTAGCTATTCGGGTCTTGGTATTTTCACAACCGCCACCAGTTTGAGGCTGGTAGGTGGTACTTCGCTTTAATGAGGTGTCAGTGGAGCCTGAACATTTCCTTCCAAAACATTCATAAAGATCTTGTCTATCTCAAGAAAAAATGGATAAGGGAAACCCATGGAGGCATACTACTTCTTGCACAAAGACGGCAAGCTACTGTGGCTGCAGTAAAACGGTGTTTCAGGCACAAAAAATGAGCATACTTCATCAAGCGACAATGACCAACCCGATACGAACCCCTGAGAGCCAGGAACGGCTTCAATGGATAAATATATTCATATCAAGCTTTAATCATATCTTTTGCTTTTGTAGGTTTGTATTTGTAGTACTTAATTGTATCTTTTGCGTTTGTTACTTATTCGGTTATTCTTTAAAATAAATATATCAATATCACGCTTTAAAATGGAGGTAGTTTTAACATTCGATGTTAAAATTGGACAACTGATAGAAAGGAGATGATATAATCCTAAAAGCAGGGGTTATGTTGTCCTGCAATTTTCTATGCAAGAAACCCAACTTGGTATAACATCAGAAATATTATAACCCTGGTGACTACTAGTAAGGATACTGACCTGTAGCCATATACTCAGGAGTGGTGTGATGACTGATAAGCATGTCACTATTTAACATCGTCATTATTCCACGTGGCGAGCCTAATGTTGCCAGTCCAAAATAGAGCTCTGCCTCAAAATCCTATCACCAAAATCCCAAAAGAACAAAATCATTAAGCTTCAAAAGGTTAACTTGATTGTAAGGCGCAAGCACCACTATGATTATAGTGTTTGACAAGTTTTTATCTCTTCTATCACTGATTATTTGTTTAACAGAACTCTACTACAGGAAAAAGTACATGATAATTAGGGTTCTATATACCTCATTTAACAAAATATTTGAAGCATCGAAGGTCCTATATATGGGGGTGTTCTCAGCAGTGTGCAAGAAAGCAAGACCTTGGGCTGCTCCAATGGCAATTTTCAAAGCCGTGGCCCACTGAAGTGGATGGTCTGCAAAATTCCAAATAAAGCAAAAAAACACAATTATTCACATAATTGAAAGTTATGTCATGATGAATACTTAATACTCCATTCACAGAGCACAGGACATGCAACTTGAATCTGGAATTAATACTCCATTCACAGAGCAGAAAACACAATTATTCTCACAGTTGAAAGTTAGTTTTGGCAAAATGTAACCGCCCCTATTATTCACAACCGTTGGATTAAAATAGATGGATGGTTCAGATGGGTTCTTTTGTTCTCCTTTTTTTAGTGTTCTCTCTTGAACCCATGTGGTCATGCCAAAAAGTAAAGAAGAAAAGCGAGACTCTTATAAGGAAAAACTGGTGAGATTTTTCCCAAAGTAGCAACATTCAAAGGGGTCGTTCACATCATATATCCACCACGAGAGAGAGAGAGAGATCCTGAGGATGTGAAGAGGTACTCCACAGGTACTTGTTTGGCTGCATTGGGACTTTGCCAAACCCAACCAGGGCTCCATTGCTCAAAAATCATGGAGCAAAACTTTAATGGATGCAAGTGGGTGATACTGGTATTTTCATCGTAAATATTCATATTTAGCCTGCATAGCGAACTTATTGAACAAAAGGATCAAAGATCAACACAATAAAGGTTAGGTGGAGGAAATGGCAATACCCTCATACATTATTGTTATGCTTTGTGTTAAATAACACACATCATTAATTGATTGCGTTTGTGGTTAAAAAACTATATCTGAGCATCACACATACTAGTTAATAATGAAATCCATAATATCTTCCTTTACCGCCAAAGGGTCCAAGTCAATTTTTGGGCACAGAAGTACTTACAGTTAAGAAGCTCTACTAAGTTTCTCTTAGGTATGTATTCGTGTACAAGGAGAAGCCTTCCATCTTCTGAACAATATCCCAAGAGCTTAACAAGGCGGGGATGGCTAAACTTTCCCCGGTTCACTTCTGCCTGGCACATGCAAACACACAATAAATCGTTTAATAAATTAATCATAACAAATATTATCACAAAATTTGTCTCTTCTTCTGAAGCAAAATAGCATTTATAGTCCCTTTTGTACTAACTTCTGCCATAAGAAAAAAGAGGGAGAGGTCATTCTGATAAATATCAAGGATCCCCATCTGACAAATCAATTGGTTTAAAAAAAACAGAAATGTCTCTCTCTAAAAACGTCATTTGAGAGTGCCTGTGAAAGAGAAAATTATGCGATCATTTCCAGCAGATCTATTTGGTTTCTTCATTTGCTGCATCATGTCATGACATGCTAAAACCACTGTAACCAGTATTTTCTCAAATAGATCCTATTGAAGTGAATGGTCAAAATGATCAAGAGGTAGTAGCCGTAAATCTATCAACCCATTTGTTTTAAGCCACAGAAGTACACTTTCTGAATTACGTTCATCTTCACATCATGGAAACAAGACCCACAAAAAGAAAATGAGCAATGAAATAGAATTGAATGGACTAAAGTAACAGACCTCAAGGTGTTCATACATTTTCAAATATACTTATTTGGACCAAACCCCGTGTTCAGTATGGTACAAAATATGACCCATTGTATGTTAGAGATTTCTTGGAAAGAACTGAAGTGATGGCACAGTATCCAGAGAAATATAATAAACAAGTAGTGGCATCGTGGTATGAGTATTTCTCTAACAATAAAAAAAGTTACCGGCTTCTAGCATGGTGTTGGTCACTATCCTTAAAGTTATATTTGTCCCCACATGTGGTTGTAAATGAATATATCTTGACATTATGGATAAGTCTCTGGAAAACTGAACTCCACTCCTAGACTTCATTGCAATAGCACTGAGACAATATAGTCCCTGGAAGTTTAATTATCAGAGCTTCTCACAAAATCTAAAAGCATTTGAAGTCCAAAGTTAGACTGGATTTATAGAACGCCTAAAGACTTGATGAGACTTCGCATTCTCGAATCCAACAACTACTGTGGTCCTGTCTAAGGCCTTTCCAATGTCATGAGTAAATAGGCTAAGGAAATCAAATTATATAAGCATACGCTTAGGGCACTCTAATTCCAAGATGCAACAAACCTAAGTTTCCTTAGCAATTCTCTCGTCATCCAAAAAAATAATCCGCTATAAAATCTACAAAAAAATTCAAGGACAATGTACAAAAACTCAGAGACAACCTAAGGGATTAACTGGAGATGTTTGGGTTATGTAAGAACCTAATAAGATCAACTAAAAAATGCTAGCCTTTTATGTAGCATATTGTAAATGATATGTAGTCTCTCTCACACCACGCATGTGCTTGTATACGAGAGACATATCTCCATGCCTCAATCTCTCTCTCTCTCTCTCTGTCCCACGATCATAGCTCACCACACACATACAGTGCAAAGTGTTCAGCCATGCATGAACATACATATTGATAGGTTAAAGAAGGTCGGACCTCAAGAAGATATAGGGAATTTCCTGTCCCATCGCGAGATTCTTGAATTTTGGTATAAGAACAAGGAGAATTTCGGGAAATTTGGTATATGCACAAAATATGATGTTAGAAACCACAGGGGTATAGGTACTAATTATGGCTAAATGTTATGTGTACATGTATGTAGGCCTAAACTAAAAGAGTTTAGAGCCATTTTTCCTACTTTTAGCACAAAGTTTTAAGTGGGAAAGGAAAGCTGCAGCATACATATTCTTGATTAAGAATGTGTAATCAATCCCAAATAATTACAATGTTAGACTAAGCACATGGTTTAGCATAAATCTTTGACCATCACTTCAATAACGACAGAATGGAGCGAATTTTGTGAACCAAAATCACTGTTGCCAATATTTCTGATGATTATACTGCACAAACAGACAAGTTTAGCTTGAAAACTTCATAAGAAAAAAGAAAATATTACAATTTTTTAGAATGTCCTAAAATGGAAATTGTTGCGATTTTTGCCGACCCAATTACGATCTTATAATAAGAACAAGAGATCTTTCTTGATCAATCCCCTGGATTCCACTTGCTTTTTCGTCATGGTGGATGCCAACAAATACAATTACATAGTTGTCTTATAGGTCATGTGTAACAGCCCTAATTTTCAGCCACATATATAGATATATACATATCTTTATCATGATTTCTTATAAAGTTAAGTTGTTTCTAAAGGCCCTTAATATAAGAACTAAAACAAAGTAAATAACATTATTAAAAAAAAAATTAATGAATAAGTAAGCAAGCATACAAGTAGCTTACAAAGCTACTTACCAATAAGCACATAAGAAGCTTAAAGGGCTCATTCTTTTCCATCCCAAGATTGTAATACTACCTTAAAGCTTAATAAAGACTAAGAAGTGAGTTAGGAAGTCCAAAATAAGGTGAGTACTTATGAGATTTATGAGGTACATACATGCTACATATAAGTATTTTATGCATTACAAGATATTTTGGCATGTTTGCTTTATCGTGAAAATCTTATACAAAAGATGCTTGATGACATGTTTTGATACAAGTATGTGTTTTACACCAAGGCATGAAAGTGTTTGCATGTTATAATACATGTATGTACACAAGGAATGAAAGTTTGTATACATGTAAAGTACAACCATTTAAATATCCAACGTACGGGATATGAAAAGAAGGTACGTCTTGCAAACGAACCTTATTGGGCAGCCCTTGTGTGAACCCAAGGTTAAAGAACCTATGAGAAGTTGGTTTACTTAACATGCAACTGTGAGATCTCAAAGAAATGTTTTTATCCATGAAAGTTTATAAGAATTATTTTAATTAGTTGGAAAGAATGTTTTATCATGAAACCATAACTACTCACTAAGCTTAAAGCTTACTTATTCATGTATGCATCTCAGGAATGAAGAAGTAGGAACAAGCTGAAGTATTGCTATTCTAAGATGTTAGAATATTATAAGTTATAAATTTTCAGCATCTTCCGCTGTTGTATTAACTCTATCATAATGGAATAAAAGTTTAAGAAATGAAGTTTTCTTTCATTCACTTGTACAAGGGTAAAGAACGATACCCAAGGAAACGGGATGTCACATCATGCATTGTGCCATGCATGATTATACAAAAAAGGTCGAGTTATTGAAATTTTGTACCATCGAACATGGTCAGTAACTCATTTTGTGTCAAGTCGTAACAATTATTTAAGAAATCTACCAATTGCTCCAAAATATTCAGGAAAAGATAAACAAAATTTGATGGTATTAAAGATAGATAAACAGACCTGCCACTCTTCGATACTTCGAACTTTATCAGTGTTTAAGATCCGGATAGCGACGGCTATCCTGACGCCACATACTGATGGGGCATACAGTGCCCTGTCCACCCACCCTCTATAGACCGACTCACCATCAGAAAATCCAAGCATTGCTGATGGTCGGAAATTCCGGGTTGCTCTCTGTAACTCGTCAAATGTGAATATTTTTAAGTTCTGTGTCCCTATCTGACTACTCAATGGCTGTGCCTTCAGCATCATAGCAGCACGATGACATTCGGCTTCTGTGGGTACAGCAGCTGCTTTTACGTACACACTGCTCCCCCCTATCAACGTCATAGTGGGTTCTTCCGTTGTGACACCTTTGTTTATGTTCTTACTGCTCACTTCTGATGCTGCCTTAGTGGGATCTACTAAACCAACACCGTTATTTATACCTTCACTTCTTCCTTTGGCCATTGTGGAAACTGCTTTGTCTAGTATGAGCAGTTTATTTTTGTTGGCATTGCTCCAATTTTTTCTATTTCTGTAATTCTTAGTATGCACTGCTGAAACCAAATGGAAGTACATAATTGAGATAAAAAGAGCAATAAAGATAAAAGTGGAGTGAACATTAACAGAAGCCACCATGCTTATAATGTCCTTACTTGTTTAATTTATTTTCATGTTGTTTATTATACGCTAGGTTCTATCCCATGTATTACACGGGGTAATTTGAAAAAATTAAATCATGTCAGGAACTTATCTTATATATATGAATGATCATCAAAAGTACGATGCTACATTAGACTTGTACTCTTGAAATAACTCTGAAAAATGACTCTTCAAACTTGAATTTAGAAATGAAACTATATCAATAATTAGTTAAAATGAAGTTAACCCTAGAATTAAATTAAATTTAGAAATGAAACTATATCAGTAAATTATATACTAAGTCCTGAAAATGAATACTGCTTGTGACAATTATATCTCCACACACAAATAGTTTTCTAAGAACTCAAGTTTACCTGGAAGTTTCGAGAACAGCGACCTCACCTTTTCAATGACCGTCACTCCATCGTGTTTTTGTAATGCCAACGCCAATACAAATTCTATCTGAGCCACTACCACCGTCATTGTGGGTCGATCCTTTGGAGACCAGAGGAGGCATTTATATGCAATTTGTGTAAATTCCTTCAGACAACGAGTTGAGATTTCCCCCCTCAAACAGGGATCTACAAATTGATATATGGTGCCTTCTTCCACGCAACGTTTGGCCCATGCAGCTAGACTGTGCTGCTTCTCTTCCAATGTAAAATCCACAGCAGGCCTCCCATACAACACTTCAAATAAGACAACACCAAATGCATACACATCAGATTTTCGTGTCAGTCTGTGAGTTGCAAAGTATTGTGCATCCATGTACCCAAAAGTGCCTCTGATTTGATTGGTATAAACATTAGTGGTGCACGACTGATATGCTGGACCAGTTCTAGACAACCCAAAGTCTGCAATCTTACCTGCCAAGTTCTCATCCAGCAAGATGTTTGAGCTTTTGACATCACGGTGTATGACTCTACATCTTACACCCGTGCCCGTATGGAGGTAGTCCAAACCACGAGCAGCATCTATGCAAATACGTAGCCTCTGAATCCATGTCAGTGGAGAAAAATTACCGCCGTTAGCTCTTCTTTTGTGCAAATGATCCTCAAGACTTCCATTGGGTAAGTATTCATAAACAAGGATCATCTCTCGTTTACTAGACTCTTCATGATATCCTACCAGAGAGACAATGTGACTATGGCGTAACTTCGAAAGCATCTCAATCTCTGCCCAGAACTCAGTTGCCCCTTGATTGGAATCAATGTTTAACCTCTTGATGGCAACATCGATACCTCCCCCAAAGTCAATTGTGCCTTTGTATACCTTCCCAAACCCGCCCTTTCCAATGACAAATGCATCGTCAAAATCATGGGTGGCCAGTTTGATTTCGGCAAGTGAAAAACGGCGACACTGTTTTTCCAGTGACGATGATGAGGATGAATCCGTCCCTTCCACATGGTCTTCTTTGTGTACGAATTGTTGATCTGACGATGATGACGGGGATGAGTTCTTCTGCTCAGCATTGTCTTCTTCCTGTTGTTTCTGTAAATAATAGACAATGATATCCAATACAGTAAGAAAAAATATAAGACTGGTGGAAAAGTACATCCTTCTTGGAGTTATGGATTGCAGTCTGTAATGCAAGAAAAGATCCTTAAATCTAAAGATGCAGATGATGTTGGTGCATACTGCATAGGATGTCCTGAATCATCTTGACCACAAAAATAACGAAATAAAATCAATGAAGAGAAAAGAGATGAAACTTTCAAAGAACGTACTCAGTCAAGGAGGCAAGAGCTGACTCACTATTGAAGTAGACAGCTTTGCTTGCCATTTAGCATTGCAAATAAACCCATGGTGCCGACAGACAACCATTAAAATTAATAAAGAGGAAAACAGACGGAACTTTCATGCAAAGCTTTTTACGAGCACACTATATTCAAGGTCTGCAACGGGAATAATGTTTCACAAAATTGCAATTTGACCCACCTGAACAGTAACGTAACGGCTCTTAGGTCTTCCACTTTTCTTCGATATAACTACTTCGCCAACACACCCCTCATCAACACAATATTTGTCAATCATCTCCTGGTACTACTACCATGGATCCAGGTCTTAGCCTCTTGTGTTAGGATCGACAAGTACAAACAATCCTTCGAATCTGAAAGCAATTAGGGTCTTTACTTTGTACAGGATTAGGAACACAATTGCAATCTCTTTAAGATAATCGACCTAGGGCTTCCAGTTACAAGCATTCGTAGACAGATAAACTGGTAAAATCAATATACACATAAGCAAATATGGATTCACGGGTATGGCCCGTGGAAGGATGTACGATTTTGACGAACCTAGAGGGCTGATAGGCAGTACGGGAGCTTTGCGTTGTCGAGTTGCTGCTCACGTACGAATCGATCATACTATACTCTTTAGAACGCATTTCTGCTTGAAATTTTTGCTGATTTCAATGGTGTTCCGCTGCGGTAAACTTGAACGGAAATGGGAATTTATCGTTGCGTCATTTTACATTATTTTTTTGGTTGTTTTGCATTTTAGGGGAAACTAATCAAAATATTTATTTTGACAAGACCGACACATATATCACAACCTTTCTAATTCTCAGGTAGCAATAAATTTATACAATATTATAAAGTATTTGATAAAAACTCTTAAAATCTATTTTTATGCATGAAATATTGTATATTTATGCATATTACTTAAAATTTAAGATTACAAATAAATTATGCATAAATACAACTTATTAAAACTCCATGTTTGAATTCGTGTAACTAACTGCAGTCTATCTTATTTTAAAATATAAAAAATCTAAAATATAATTAAGATAATTATCAAATTCTAACAAAATAATTAATTATTATCTTTATAATAAAATTGTATTATTAAACCAAATATAAATTACTTCGTTATTCAACCAATATTAAATTACAATAAAGAAAATTGAACTGAAAATTTACACAAAAAATGAGAAATTTTAAATAGTTAATTTGATACTAATATCGATATATTTTAGTCAAATTTTTATGATATCTTCAAATTTATATTTTTATTGAAAAATAAAAACATTATCGGTTTTTCAAAATCACATAAGACCATATTATAACATCGATTGAGATAAATAATAAAATGAAATATTAAAATCAAGATGTATCTCGCTGCATTGTGCGAATACCCTTCTAGTTACATAAATATCACAATTTCCATGCAATTTGCAGACTTATCGAAGCGTTTAAAGAAGTTCATTTTTCACCCACGTGAATGTTTTTTTTATATTTTTCACCCATGTCTGCAATTTTTCTTGCATTTTTCGTCCACGTCTACAAGTTACAGACCTAAAAATTGCGGAGGTGGGTAAGATATGATTTTGTTTATCACTATTTGCAGACTTAAAGATTGCGGAGATAGTGACATTTATGTAGTTCTTGAAGAGAAATGATCAAGAGGTGAAACTAACGGTTTAAAATGACTATTTTAATTAATTTTCCAAGAAATTATCGTGTACCAGTCAATCATGTATTAACTTTTTTCAATTGTTACATGTTGTTGTTAGTTTTGTAGCATTGTCAAATTACATTTATGAAAATTGTTATTTTTCTTCAAATTTTGAGTTTAGTGGTAACACATATGATTTTTAAGGAGTTTAATTGCAACGAATAAAACCTGAAAACATTTAAATATTCAAACAAAATAGTTAAAGTTATAATGTTTAATGTTTAATACATAAAAATACAATAAATAACTAAATAAATTGGTACCATCATAAGCAAATTCCAATATCGTGTATCAACCAAGTTTAATACTACGTAAATGTACCTGTGAACTGACCTGTATAAACAGTAGTAGTGCCAGACTGATATGCTGGCCCAATTCTAGACACCCCGAAGTCATAAATCTTAGCTGCCAAATTCTTGTCCATCAAGATATTTGAGCCCTTTACATCAGGGTGTATGACTCTACTTTGGACACAGGTACCTATATGAAGGTAGTCGAAACCACGAGCAACACTTATACAGATACGGAGCCTTTGAATCCATATCAGTAGAGAAGAATTACTTCCGTTAGCTCTTCTTCTGTGCAAATGATCTGTAAGACTTCCATTGGCCATGTATTCATCAACAAGTATCGTCTCTCCTTTAACCTCTTGATGGCAACATCAATACTTGCCTCAAAGTCAATCATGCCTTTTGTAGATATCCCCATACCCACCCTTTTCCAATGACAAATGCATCATCAAAATCATATGTTGCCAGTTATATTATAGTAAGTGAAAAATGTTGACATTGCTTATCCAGTGACGTTGATGAGGATGAATCCTCCTCTCACCATGGTCTTCTTTGCGTACGAATCGTTGATCCGACGATGATGACAGGGACGAATTCTTATGCTTAGTATTGTCTTCCTCCTGTAATTTCAGTACATAATAAACAACAATATCCAATATAATAAGTAAAAATTTAAGAGCAGAGAAAAAGTGCATCCTTCTCGAAGCTAATTTATATACCTAAAAAAAATAACCTGTAGTTGCATCAAAACCCTTTATTATTGATGTATTTCGTTCACATTTTTATGGTAATATTGTTTTAAAGGTTAAAAAAATCCAGATCTAAGAAATTGCAACTTCTGTATTCACAAATCTAATAACTAAATAACTAAAATATTATTTAATACGACAAAAATTGAGAAAACTTGTGAACCAAAAATCACTTCACAAATATCATGTAATTATTGTTGATGGATATAAATATGTAAATTTATATTGACATCTTATCAAGGAAAAAACAGTTACAATTTTTAGAATTTCGTAAAAATGTGACCTTTTTAAAATTGAATATAGTATGGTTTATGTCTTAATTATTATAATAAAACCGACGAAATTGTGCGTGCTTTTGATTTTAATAGATATTATAACAAGTGTATGTAGTGAATCTTTAAAAAATCTGTTAAAAGAGTTGTATAATTTTGTTACAAATTAATGATTGTACTTAGAAATATGAAACATAAACATTGAAGTTTGATATAATTAACTATTTTTTTTATTAACCTGGATATTCAACTCGCTATGCGAGCCGACTAATCTCAAGACGACCACCTGATTTGCAGATAGCCCGGAGTCACTGTATTTGAACCTCCGTGACCACAAGGAGATTTTTATTCCTCCTTGGATTTGAACATGAGACCTCCTAGTATTTTTGATCTTTGAAGCCTAGCTCAAACCAATCAGACACCACTCTTATGGTTTATAATTAACTATTTTAATAATTGTGTATATAGTTTTTTTTAATACATTAATGACTGAAAAAATGTTTATAATCACCCAATCGGGAGTGCTCTAGGTATTTTTATGTGTTTTTATTACATACAATGATTAGTTTACGGCAAAACGTTTGGAAAATAAATGAATGTTACAAATAAATTCTTTATATATATACACAGTTTATATAAATAAAGTGAAAATGTGAAAGCATGAAGTCGCTTTGGCCGAGTGGTTAAGGCGTGTGCCTGCTAAGTACATGGGGTTTCCCCGCGAGAGTTCGAATCTCTCAGGCGACGATTTCTTCTTTTTCCAATCAAAATTTAACAACAAATAATTATTATATAACATTTTTCGATCAAAATTCATCGATTTTAATAAGAGAAAATGATGAAAATAACTACTTTATACAATCCTCTTACACAAAATGATCAATTTTTAGGGGTTTTACAAAACTAACCACACGGATCTCCCATGGGGGCGATCCGGCCTTTTTCTTAGAAAAAAATTTTAAAATTTATTTTTTTCCACTTGGGGCGAGCCACGTCATCGGATCGGCCCCGGAGGCGATCCAGGTTTTTTTTTCTTTTTTTTGTAATACCAATTTCACTATAAATATCAACCTCCTATTTCATAATTTTTCACACATTCCCTTTCATTTCTCTTCTCATATATTCTACTCTCACAACCTTTAACCCATTAGTCAAAGACCTTCCAGCCTAGTGGTAAGGGCTTGGGCATGGTATAGTCATGAACCCGAGTTCGAGCCCTGGGAGGGGAAGTGTTGGCGACATTTAAGTGGGGCCATGTTTAGCCTCCAAAATTGCCGGGGATTAGTCGGGCTTTGGCCCGGACACCCTCCCAAAAAAAAAAAAAACTTTAACCCATTAAACACAATCAACCATCATAAAACATGAAATCACGTCAAAGTGATGATATTTGTGTGTATCTTCGAAGTGGCGGTTAAAGCCCGCACGCATATATACGTTAAAAATACGTACGGCAAACGTACGTGAATATACGTAAATATGCGTACGTGTTAAAAACCGTACGCATATATACGTTAAAATACGAATTTTCAATTTTTGTACCGTTTATATCGCTTTTTTTACGTAATGCATATATATATATATATATATATATGTTACCGCAATTTATATCCTTTTTTTTACGTTATGCATCTCTCTCTCTCTATATATATATATATATACGTTACCGCAATTTATATCGCTTTTTTTTACGTTATGCATCTCTATATATATATATACGTTACCGCAATTTATATCGTTTTCTTTTACATTATGCATCTCTATTATATATATACGTTACCGCAATTTATATCCTTTTTTTTACGTAAATGTAAGTAGGTATATATATACGTATATACATACGTACATACATACGTGAAGATACGTAAATATGCGTACGAGTTTTAACCCGTACACATATATATGTATAAAATACGTACGTAAAACATACGTGAAGATACGTAAATATGCGTATGGGTTAAAACGTTAACCCGTACGCATATATACATTAAGAATACGTACGTTTTCGTAAATATGTGTACGTGTTAAAACTCGTACGCATATATACATATTAAATACGAAGTTTCAATTTTTGTACCGTTTATATCGTTTTTTTTACGTAATGCATATATATATATATATATATAAATGTTACCGCCACTTCGAAGATACATACAAACATCATCATTTTGACGTGATTTCATGTTTTGTGATGGTTTATTGGGTTTAATGGGTTAAAGGTTGTGAGAGTAGAATATATGAGAAGAGAAATGAAAGGGAAGGTGTGAAAATTTATGAAATAGGAGGTTGGTATTTATAGTGAAATTGGTATTACAAAAAAATTATAAAAAAATACTTAAAGCCTGGGGCGATCCGATGACGTGGCTCTCCCCAAGTGGAAAAATAGAAATTTAAAAAAAAAAATTCTAAGAAAAAGGCCGGATCGCCCCCCACTAGTACGGATCTCCCCCGTGGTTAGTTTTGTAAAACCCCTAAAAACTGGTTATTTTGTGTAAGAGGGTTGTATAAAGTGGTTAGTTTTGTCATTTTCCCTTTTAATAACTACTAGTCGTGTACTCGTGCAATGCGCGGGAGCCGTGAATTTTAATGATTTTGAAGTTTCACTGGTTTTATTGGAGAAGATTTAATGATGATATAAGTTATACTTGGTCGTTACATATTAATACAATTTGAATAAATAAGAGTTATGGTTTCAATTACAGTCTATCGATGAAAAAAATTGTATGACAGTTTAAAATCCAATATATTTAAAATCCAACATATTTAAACGACTCCAAAAATGTGTTCGATTTACACCAAGAGCAAATAATCAAGAGATCGAGATCGAGAGTTCTAAAGCAATTGAATGAGAAATGAATAAGAGAACTTTTAATAACTCATGATGAATATTAGTTTGAATCTCACCTTGGGGGATGGGGAGAAGACGTATTGGTAAAAAGTAATAATGTGCATTGGGTAACTTGTATTATATGTTATTTTAGTTGTAAATTAAGATATTTTTTAAGACAATACATAAATTAGTAGTACTCAATGCATTATGAGTTGTTTTTAAGACTTTATGCATAAATGTATAATACTTTGTGTATTAAAAATTGTTTTTAAGACTTTTGACAAATCTAGTTTATAAGATAGTATAGATTACAAAACATCGACTGTATAACCTATTTAAATCTAGGATAGAGACGTGAGATATACAAATAGGACAAAAGTAAAATATTAATAAATATAGATGTGAAAACTGTTTCACATGATTTATTTTTGTTTAAGTGTAGTATTTAATCATTTAAGATTGTATTAAGACGTACAATATTAATAAATATATAGTTTAATCATTTGAGATTGTATTAAGAAAATGGAGATTAAAATGTTGACCACGGTCCTTTACCACCGTGAGATTTATATTTATTTTTTCTCACCTTCACGGTCCTTTACCAAATGGTGCTAAAGGAGTAAATAGTGGTTAAACTTTTAAAATTTTAAATTTTAGGGTCAAAAATGTAATTTTGAAAATTTGGTGAGTTATTTTTGTCAAATTCCCCACATGTTGTAGCATATTTTTGATAAATCACCTATTTACAGATTCTATTGAGAGAATGTAATTTTTATTGGAAATTTTGACTTTTCATTCTCCATTTTGAAGAAATTTTGGGAAATCTAACGGAGATGCGAAGAAAATGACTTATTCAATAAGCTTTTAAAAGGAATGTTTATGAAGAAAGTCAATTTTTCCAAATAGGCCCCTCCAATTGCTTCTTTAATTTTGAGGAAATTGTCCAAACAAACCTCCGTATGATTTGTTTATCTTCTATGTCACTTGTTTTGCCGGGTAACATCCACAGACATCAAAACTAATTGGTGATAAGTGTCTCTCACCTCCTAAGCACTAATCAAGTAATGGTCTTCTTCCTTATTTACGGGGTAAAATTTCAACCATTGTTAATTATGCCTATTAAGTCTCGCTGGGTAAGATTTTAATTCCTTACGATGTTTATCCAGTAAAGTAGGTGACACTTAGTAATTGCTTAAGTAATGACCCCTTATTTGTATCCGAAGTCGGATTAGACCTCATTAAACGTTACATGAAATGGACCAAACTTAACGTTTGGATAGGATCAGATTGAAACCAGATATTTTTAGATTGATTTTATATCAAGTTATCCTCGGCGTAGATTCCATCTTTATCTTGCTAGATACCGAACGATTTTCAGAGTTCATTAATCAACTTTTTACTATACCTGACTTTTTTTTAATTGATCTTGGATTGGTCATAATTCATATACAAATCTAGTGAGTAAATCCGGATTTAAAAATCGTCTTTATAAATTATAACTTAATTTTTACGAAAAAAGTAGCAATAAAACTCATTTCTTATATAAATTTAATTAACTATATTTGATTTGAATCATTTTGTTACTATTCATTGTTTGATTATGCTTTTTGATTTTGATTCTTAAATAAACGAAAAATCCATGACATAAAGAATACGTAATTTTAAATAATAAATAAATAGCATATTTTTCATAAATTAATTCTATAATCAATATATACATAGACAAAACCTTTATGATCATCGACCATAATTACAATATCTTTTGCTAACTTATTGACAATTTTAAACATGTACTTAAGTTTTCAAAGAACACGAAGAGTTGTTTTATCACGGGATTGAATGGGTGATCGATCAGCCCGAGCTCCTCCCCCTTGCTTTGTATGAAGGGGAGAGTGGTGATGGTTCACATGACGACGGTCACCAAGCCTTTGCTTGTGGTGTGGGCTCATTAAGTGTTTGGTGTCAGCCTTTAACCACTTCGGTTTCATTTTAATTGCATTCATCTCTTCTAAACTTGCAACCACTTCCTCCATTGAAGGTCGGTTATTGGGGTTAGGATCAAGACAATGTCGGATAAGTCCTGCTGCTTTAATTGCACATGTTGAAGGGTAAACTTGTTCCATTCGTGGGTCCATGATTCTTCGTAATTTTTTTGTATCGGCCAAGAAAGGTCTAGCCCAATCCACCAAATTCTGTTGCGACCCAGGTCGATTAGGATCAAGTACACGTAATCCTGTAATCATCTCTAGCATGACTACCCCAAAGCTGTAAACGTCGCTTTTGACGTATAAATGACCTGTAGTTGCATCAAAACCCTTTATTATTGAGGTATTTCGTTCACATTTTTATGGTAATAGTGTTTTAAAGGTTAAAAAATCCACATCAAAGAAATTGCAACTTCTGAATTTAACGAATCTAATAACCAAATAATTAAAATATTATTTAATACGACAAAACTTGAGAAAACTTGCGCACCAAAAACACTTGTATTTAAACATTTAAATCGAAGAAACCCTAGTTGAATCAATCCTAAAAACAAAAGCAAAAGAAACCCTAAACCCTAAGAACAAGTACACTGTGTGTTTAATTAAACCTTTAAATCGAAGAAAAACCCTACTTGTATCGATCCTTAAAATGGAAAACCAAAAAACCCTGAACTTAAACAAAAGTAAGGGACCGTTTACTAAACACTTACTTGGTAAGTGCTTACCGGATAAATTTCCTCATCGGATGAACATGAGAAGGGCAAAAAATCTTACCGGGTAAGAGCAATGAGAAAGATGGAGAGACTTACCTGGTAAGTGAGGATAGCGACTCTTACCCAGTAACTTGTTGCATTCGATATGTTTTGATATACTAAAATCTTACGCATCAAAAGAAATTATAGTATTAACTCCTATCAATAAGCGCTTACTGGGTAAGCATTTGGGTAAACGGCCCATAAACCATAAATTTAATCATTCAAAGAAAATAGACTCATAGTTGAATTAAGTCGTGAAAACCGAAATATAAAATAGAAACCCAGTTAAAGCCCTAGCATGAAGAAATGGAAGATAAATTAAACCCTAAAAATGAAGAAAGTAAAGATAAATTAAACCCTAAAAGGAAGAAACAAACCCTAGCAAAATAACGCTTAAAACTGAAAATTAAACACTAGGAAATACGTTGATTTTTATATACGTGATTTAAAATGAGAGAAGAGACTAACCCGTAATCATGTACTCAGGAGCTGCATAACCGTAGGTGCCCATTACCATTGTTGAGACATGAGACTCTCCATTGATTGGACCTAACTTCGCCAACCCGAAATCCGAGAGTTTTGCATTAAAATCCTGATCTCACAAAAATTTAGAATTAAAAATATGTAAGTAACGTAACAACTTAAACCATAAAACTATATATATATATATATATATATATATATATACACACACTATTTTTTTAATAATATCCACAAAATGTGTATTTATGTATATGTTTGTAATTTTTTGTGTGTGTGTGTGGGTGTGGGTGTGAAATATATTTTAAGTTGCTTGATCACTTACCGCATCTAGTAAAATATTTGAAGACTTAAAATCCCTATAAATGACTTTGTTTTCAGTTGTATGCAAGAAAGCGAGTCCGTGAGCTGCTCCTATAGCGATTTTGATTCTTGTATCCCATGAGAGTGTTTCCGTACCTTCTGCAAAATCCATTTTAAAAGAATAAATCATTTCTATACATTTCATATAACTAGCAACAATATTTGTATAAAAATTAATTACAAATATGCAATGCACATATCATAAAACATACATATAACATAATTCACTAATTGGTGGTTGGATATATATCGATACTTGATGTTCACTTACTCAAGTAAGCGTTTGGTAAACGGCCCCTTATTCTTACCATGTCCACATCTTGGTCAACAACATTTAGATGTTCAAGAGTGTAAATAAATGATATCATATATTTATTGTATATCTAATAGGAGACAATATATATATATATATATAATAGAAGTCTAATCAAATGAGAACTAATTGGTTTGTGGTAAATGTGAGGTTCAATCTCAACCACGAATCAATAAATAAATTAGGAAATTTATAATTTTGATAATTTTGAATTCAAATTTTAATGGAAAGACATTTTAGGTATTTTAAAACTCTTCTCTCTCCTTTTTTCTCTCTCCATCCCCCATCCTCTGGCCTCCGGCCACCATCCTCTAGTGATACCACTGTGGTATCACAATGTATTTTATATGTGTTTGAGTATCACACTGAGGTCTTTTGTGTGGTCGATCAGAGATTGTAACACAGTGGTATCATAATACATCATACATGTGTTTGGGTATCACATTGTGTCTTTTGTTTCACATAGTCAATATTTTTAGGTATCACTGGAAGACGGTGGCCAGAGGACAGAGGCCGGAGACCAAAGGATGGGGGACGGAGAGAGAAGAGTTTTAAAATACCTAAAATGTACTTGTATTAAAATTTTAATTCAGAATTACCAAAATTATAAACTTTTTAATTTATCTATTGATTTGTGGTTAAGATTAGATCTCACGATTTCTACAAACTAGTCGGTTTTCCTTTCAATAGGCCTCATATATAATAAACAGTTGTATATTGTAAAATATATAGCAGTTATATATATATATATATATATATATATATATATATATATATATATATATATATATA